GGCACCGGGGAGAAGCGGAGAAGCCCACCCTTGAGGCCGGCCTGGGCAGTGGGCTCTCCGGGAGCCGCCACCCTCAGGATACACTGGTCTTGTAAGTTCGCGTGTCTTTGGAGACGGGTCTAAAGGTCTGCAGCCGAGATGAGCGGGTTTGGGGGCATACTAGCACCATCTTCCTAGCCAATTCCTAAGCCCTGGAGGTGCCCAGTACTTCGAACCCTGTTGATCCCCTCCCAGGCGTCTTTACCCCTACCTCCCTCACCTCTGCCACTAGTCTGCAGGTCAGGCTGCCCTCTAGGTCTCTGGGGATCCGTGCCATCTCTCTCCGTTGAGCGTGAGCCCCCCGTCACCTCTCCTGCCCAGCCAAGAATGCTTTGCTGCTCTCTGTGCACCTAAAGCTCTTGGCCAGCTGGGCCATTGCTCTGGCTCATTACTAGCATTTGGTCAAAGAATACCTTTAGGCCTTTCTCACAAAGCGCTGCAGTAAAGCCAGGCTTCTCCCATGTTCCATCCACGTGTGAAATGGATGCTTGGAAACCAAGCACTGGCCTTTACAGCTAGCCTCATTCGACTCTAACCTGCAAAGAGCTTTATGAGTCCTGATTCAGTCCTCCAACAGAGTGTCACGTCTTCCTGGCTCTGTCCCCTTCATGCAGGCGACCACAGCCTCTGTGTCTTTACCTGAGCAGCTGATAGGTGTGTGGAAGGCGTAGGACTCTGATGCCCACATGGAGAAACCTCCCTCCTACTGACTGTGAACATGGATCCACACCTTTGGGTCTGGCAATGGTCTCAAGGCTACCTGGAGGGCCAGCTCTGAACCCACATCTATGCCCCTGCCCTCTCCCAGCCGTAGTGGTTTGTGGGCTGTATGGGGCAGGTGCCTGACCCACGCTGGGCTGGCTGTGCCCCCTCCTGGGCTTTGGAGTTGAATCACAGATGGAAGGAATTCAGTTTCCAGGTGTGGGCTGTATTAGTTTCCTAGGGCTGCTGTAACAAAGAACCACAAATTTGTGACTTAAAACAACAGAAATGTAGTCTCCCACAATTCTAGAGACTAAATTCAAAATCCAGGTGTCGGTAGGGCTATGTTCCTTACAAAGGTTCTACGGAAGAATCCTTCTTTTGCCTCTTTCAGCTTCTAATGGCTCCTGACGATCTCTGGCATGCCTTGGCTTGTAGCTGCATCATATGGATCTCTGTTTTTTTGTCTTCCCCTTGCCTTTTTCCCTGTGTATCTGTGTCCTCTCCTGGTAGATACCAGTTGGGGTCAGCTGTTGTGGCACAGGTACCCTATGAGGCTGGAAGCCATATGGTGGGTCCAGATCCCTGGGTTGGCCTGAAAAGAGGGCTGGCAGGTGGGTGTGCATGGGCATCTGGGATCCTGGGGAGCTGGAAGGCAGGGGAAAGGAGGTTTGACCCTGGTTTGACCCTGCTGAGGGTTCTCCTTTCTCTCTCTTGCATGGCACACACTCTATATTATTTAAAAAATATAATAAAACAAAATGAAAAAATATGAGGCACTGGGCTTAGGGCCCAACATAACCTCATCTATTTCTTTTTTAAAGAGGTTTCTGCCTAGGTGCATGCAGATGCTTCTCCATTCTGCTCTTGGGCTCTTGGGCACGCACACACATGCACCTGGTGTGTTTCTAGCCACTGGGTCTGGGACTTGACATGGTCAGCCATGTGAGAATCCAGTGATATAACCACTACGCCATCTGCTGGCTCCCATAACCTCATCCAAGTAATTACATCTGCAAAGGTCCTATTTACAATAAGATCACATTCTGAACTTCCAGGTGGACACTAAGTTGGGGCAGGAGGCACTAGTCACTGTTCAGTCCAGACCTTGGCATGGACAGACCTTGGCATGCTGTAGCCATGGTTCTTCAAGAGTTTTGAGAACTGAGGAGAAGGCATGGCCAGGGGAGAATGGCGCGGAGACTAGAGGCTTTGGTCCTTAGGGAGAAGTGTGGTGCACAGTCCTTCCGTGACAAGCTATGGCTTTTCTATCTGTTTTCAATAACCTACCACTTGAGCTGATGCGACAGGGTTTCTGATCCCAGCAACAAATGATGCCCAAGACAGCCTTTTAGCCTGCCCACAAATCACCAGATGCACCATAGTGTTTTCTGGCCTTCCACAGAGATGCTATGAGCCATTTTGCTGAGGGCAAGATGCAGGCTCCTTACCATTCTTGACCTTGTAACCGTCGACTGCCCTCTTTTCAGAAAAGACAGACACGAACAGGAAATGAACAGAGCCCCAGCTCCTTGCCCTAGGCTGGGTTCCGACTGCTTGGCAGCACTGCCCAGCTGGCTCTGGGAGCAAACTCCCCCATCCCAGAAACCGCCTTCTCACTCCTTTGACAGCGTCAGATGTGGAGCTTACAACTCACAGGAAGGCGACTGGCCTTGTTTGTAACTGGGACTATTACAGGGGCCTGGAAGGACAGCCAGACTTTGCCCCTTTCCAGGCTCTCCCACATCCCCCTTTCCCAGGTGGCTGTCATCAAACACAATGCTTGCTCTAATTGGAGCAGTTTGGGGAGCCAGCGCCTGGGCCCCATCCTGGTGGGGGTGGAGGGATGCAGATGCTCATGGATTGGGTGAGATGTAGCCAGAGGCTGGGGTCTCCCTCACAGATGATGAGGCCACTCCGCATCTGCCAGACAGGAAACCTGGGGAGGCCAGCCGCGGCAGAGGGAGGCAAACCGACATGCTCTTTCTGACTCAAGCTACAGTGTCTGTACCTGGATGAGACAGGCGGGAAACACCCAGAAGCAGTTTCTGTTCATGGGGACAAGCACAGCCATGTTCAGACACACTTAGCACACCCCCCACTCCACAATCTCACACACACACACAGAAACACAGAAACACATGCGCACACACATGGGGGTACATACCTTCACTAGCTCTTGGCAACAGATTTGCCACCCTCTTCCAGAAAGATGACATCCGGGTGACAAAACGGGGCGAAGGTGAAGTCTTGCACTGAGAATTTGTTGGTGGGACTGTTGGGGGACATGAGCAGAAACCTCTCCTGGACACTAGAGCTTCCCACCTTCCTCTGAAGGGTCCCTGGGGGCGGAGAAGATGAGAGAATGGATCCTGGAAGCTGCAGAGAGGTAGGCTTGCTTGGTGGTGAACTAGTGCAAGGGGCTGGTGCTGGGACTACCTTCTCAAAATTGAATCTCCTCTCCAGGATCCTTTCACCTCACCCAGGATGTCTCTCTCCCTCTTTTTTTTTGGGGGGGGGCATAGAGTACATATGCTCACTGGAGAGACAGAGATAAAGAGAGGGAAAGTGAGAAATCACCTTTGGAGGAATGGTTACACTGCAGTCCCCTCCCCTCCATTCTCCTGTTGGGATTTTGGGCATGTGCACACACATGCCTGGTGTGATTTTTCAAGCTGCCAGATTTGGGACTCGAACTGCAGTGAGCCATATAGGAATCCAACACTCTAAACCACCACCCCACCTGCTGGCTCCATCTCTCCTTTTTAATTGAGGGTCCATCACAAAAGATTGTCGAGAGCCAAACACAGTTTTAGGGATTGTAGTTCCCCTAAAAGAGACAGAAACAGAAAGCCCTGCAACGGCCCTTCCTGTTGCAGATGAGCCCCTAGCTGCTGAGAAGCACAGCCCCAAGGTCAGCTGGGGGTGGCACAGGTTCCTGAGTGTCACCCGCCCTTTGTCCCCACCACCTCCCCTAGCCTGTCTCTTTTTTTCTGACAGTGCACAGCAAGGCCTCCCTAGGCACAGGGCTACCTTGGGGAGTATTGTGCAGCAAGGCTCTGCCCCAAATTATGATCTTCTCATCAACATTAGCATCAGCGTTTGGATGAAACCTACTGTCAAATTCTCATAAGTTTCTGGGGCAGGAGTTTACAGTGACCCTTTCCAGCTGGACAGAAGCATAGCTTGTCCAGGACCTTAGAGTGGGTAGATGTGCAGCCCTGAGATGAGGGCCTGAGGGAGAGTCCAGAAATCATGGAAACTAGACTCTTGTAAAACTCGAAGGGACTTCCATTGAGTGAGAATGGCTTAGAAGCAAGTTAAAATCGTGCAGTGCTGACGGGCTCTCGTCGCGGACACATGTAGACCAGATGCAACATTATGTAAATTACATGCAAAATACATGCATGGGCCTCCCAGCTATTGCAAATGCCAGATATGGCCCCTGGGGACTCTTGAGTTGAGCCCTGCTATGGGGCAGAAAGATGGCCCTGGAATTGCCAGCCTGCAATGGTGGCAAAGATTGCTGAGCTCCATGGTGGGTCACCCTCGTGGATACAACCAGGCAAGGAGTCAATTAGACCTGGACCTGAATCCTATCTCTAAACCCAACATGACCTCCCTGGAGTCACTTTCCCTCTCTGAGCCTCTGTTTCCCCCTTTGTAAAATGGTCATCCTGAGGAATCGATGCGAACGTTGACTAAAGCTCCCACGTGCACGGTTGGGCACATGTCAGATACTCGATGGGTGGGGAGGGCTCAGCTGAGAGTCCTCACCTGGGGGTGGATATCCAGGCTCCTCTCTAGTCATTGGCAGGACCTTTTCCCAGGGCAGCAGATGGAGCTCTGGGTTTAGGGAATGCCAGTGCTGGCTGTGCACTTCTCAATCATTCTGGAAATCTATCTGAAGTCCCACTTGACAGGGGTGTGGTGGACACTGCCAGTACCTCTCCCAGACCTCTTTTTCCTGGAAGTGAACTCACCCAACCCAGCTGCCTCCCCCGGGAAGAAACCGATCTCCCACTTTGACTGGTTGCTTTGGGGACACAAAGCACAGTCTCCATGCTTTGGGGTGCCAGTTCAGCAGTCAGCTCGTGTTGTATAGCCCCCGGATGATCAGGCCCGTGTAGACTCTACCTGAAACCCATCCTTTTCTCTCCTGCCTCTGTCCCTCCCTTCTGTATCTCTCCTGAGTGCCTCCCTGACCCCCGCACCTCAATGAATTACCAGCACCTGGATCCTTGTCTCAGGCTCTGCTTCTGGGGAACCCCACCCAAGACAGGGAGACGGGCCTGCAAGCAGAGGGGTACCAGGAGCACGACACTGCGTGGTCAGGGACCACAGTGGGTGAGTGGGCTTCTAGAGGAAGTGCCCGGTGTTTGGGAGGAGGGCTCTGAGGGTGCTTCACAAAACAGCAGTGCTGAGTACACTGCAGACGGAGACATCCCAAGGGAGGGTGCAACATGTGCACAGCCTGAAGGTAGGAGAGAGTCTATGTGCCGGGGACTCTGCAGAGCTCTAAGTAGCCCAGGCCCCAAGAGACATGGGCAAGGGCTGGACAAGAGGGGCCTTGAAAACCCCAGCAAGAAGTCTGGACATTTTTTTTTTTTTTTAGAGAGAGAGATTTTTGCTACAGGTGACGTGTGCTTCCTGGAGAGACAGAGAAAAACAGAGAGACAGAACATTACCAGGGAGGATGCCATGCCGCAGTCCCTTTTCCTCCCTTCTCCTCTTGGGATTTTGGACATGCACACACATGTGCCCAGCATGAGTTTAAGCTGCTGTGTCCGGGACTCAAACTGCAGTCTACTATGTGGGAGTCCAGCGATGTAAAGGTTATGCCATCTGCTGGTCCCAGGAGTCTGGACTTTAAAGCTGGGATGATGTGTGCAGAATTGCCATGGAAACCGTCATCCTGTGGCTGCTATTGTGTGGTGCGGGCACAGCAGGCAGGGCAACAGCCAGGTGGTAGGGGTGGGGAGCAGGTTATGTTCCAGAGCTCTCAGGACAAAGGGCTGACAGGCCTTGGTGGCTGATGTGGGGGTTCTGGGTATAGGAAGGGGCCTGGAAGGGGCCAGGCAGAGGGAAACAACATGTCAGGGCTGGGGTGGGGGTGAGCGTGCAGTCAAGGGCAGGGGCAGGGTTTTCTGAGTGGCACAGGGCAGGGGTGTGCGTTCCCCAAGCCTCCTGCAGTCACAGCCACGCTGAGGAAGGCGGGCGCTGACGAGAGTCCATGGCACAGCTGGCCCCATTCCTGTGGGGGCTTGGGACTGCTCCCTGCTGGAGGGGCCAGTGTCTGGACCTGCTTAGGACAGGGATGGGGAGAAGCCAGATGGGGGGTTGTGCGGAGCCACTCAGGCACCGAGATGGGTGCGGGGTGAAGGCCCCAGGAAGGGTTCCCTCCTGTTGTCCTCTAACTCTTCTATTCATGGGCACCGGAGTAAAAACCACACAGGATTACCCGCTGGTGATAGCGAAGGCAGGGTGCAGAGAGGCCAAAACAGACAGCGGAAGGGCTGCCCCCCACAGGGCGAGGGAGAGCGGACGGGTCGTTGCCATGGGGAACTCACGCTTGGATAGGCAGAACCTGACCTTCACCCAGACGCTGACCTTATCGCAGACCTGCTCTGCCTTAATTCCTAATTCGCTGGGACATGTGCTGGGCCCCCACGCGGTGCAGGAAGCAGACACAGGTTGGCCCCGGGCTCTGTGCCCATGCCACCCACCAGAGCCCAGGAGGGGCAGAGGTGGGTGAGAGCGGGAAAAGCCCACGAGGGGTCAGAAAAAGGCCTGGGGGTGAGAGGGGAGAAAGCATCCTTGGTGAGGGTGTGTGCTCTAGTCAGAGTGAGGGGACTTTGGGGGGAGGGCACTACTGGAAGGGGGCTGCTGTAATCTGAGGACTCGGGGTGGGGGGACTGGGAAAGTGGTCCCACAGACGCTTGGTCTTCAGCCCCTGGGGTCCGCTGGAGACCACTCCTGCATGCCCAGCCATCAGCTGTTTCTGCATCCAGCTCCCCTCCAGACTGGTGGTCCTGGATGCAAGGCCACTTCCCGCCCATGTTTGCCGAAGGGGTGAGCCATGGTTTTCTTTTCTTTTTTTTTTAAGAATTATTTTATTTTCCTTCCTTCCTTCCTTCCTTCTTTCTTTTTCTCTTTATTTTTTCTTCCTTCTCTTTTTCTTTTCTTTCTTCTCTCTTTCTTCCTTCCTTCCTTTCTCTTTCTCTCTCTCTCTCTCTTTCTTTCTGACCAGAGAGAGACACTGTGAGAGAAAGAGGAAGTGAGAAAGCAGGCCACCAGGTCCTGGATGGAAACTGCGATCAGCCATGTGGGAGTCCAGTGCCCTTCACCACCTCGCCACCTGCCGGCCCTGAACTGTGGGTTTTAGAAGGGTATCTCTGTGGCCACAGGAGGGTGCACCAGGCCAGTAGGTGCCAGGACCAAGCAAGACATGCTGGAGTGCCGGCTCTGTGGCGCAGCAGTGGCGTGCTGCTCCAGGCAAGCCAGATCTCGCAGGGCAACCACAGTTCAAATTCCTAGCCTAGTTGGTTCGAAACACACCAGGCATGTGTGTGATGCTGAAGATCCAATGGGCTGGAGAACTGGGGAATGGGGATTGGGGCATGGCCAGACACTGTAAAGGGTGCTTCTCTCTCTCTCTCTCTCTCATACACTCTACCATGAATAAAGAGGATAAAAAGACAGATGGTGGAGACCAGGGAGGGTAGCATTTGGGCAGAGCTGCCAGGCTTCAGTGAGCTGTCTGGGTTCAGGCCAGCGTTGTGGGCTCACCCAGGGGGGCCTAGGCCTCTGTCTCATGCTTAGGGCTAGACAATATATTTGGCATCTGTTCAAATGTGCTCCTGGCCCCAACCTGACCACACTGACCCCTCCAACCCCGTCCCTCCCCAGAACCGCTTAGACCTCTCATGTAGCCTGGGCCTCACCCACCAGCACTTGCTACTCACCATGCGCCCTCTGGATCCTTCCCAGGTTGAGCCTCTGCAGCCGGGGGTTCCCCTGTTCCTGGCTATGCTGGCCCTGGCCAGCAGCCCCTGGCTGGCAG